ACTCTGCATGTTTAATATCATACACTCATGCAGGTCTGCTAATATGAATGCTGCTATTAGGGGTGTTAATAGCTTTAATATAGTTTAAATTCTGCGTCTGTGCTTTTCAAATGTGCCCTATAGTCCACTAATGAAAGTTATCCAAGCTTCATGACATTGGCTTTAAATGTTGTGATGAAATGTTTAAGCAAACGTATTTTCGACTGAAAGTGTTTTTAACAGCTAAACACAGGTTAAAAAGTCCAAAAGAAATCTGAGCAGAAAAATTGGGTTTCAATTTTAGGATCGATCTCAAATGGTTTGATCCTCAAGAATGAAACCAAAAGGATTGTCATTATCATCCAAATCAGCCTGTTAAAGTGCATCTGAGCCTACAGCAGGCATATTCAAAGTAGTATAACTGAAGTAACCTAACAGTTGGACATGGGTGTCTGTATGAAGCCAGCAACTGGCTGTCAAATAAAACAAAGTATAATCCAGCAGTTTTTCAGCAGTGCTTATTATTAATTTTCACATTGACCTGGAGGGTCAAGAAAATACAAAACTAAAACTACACCTTTTAATTATTATTTTTTTTAATTGAGCTTAGTTTAATGTAGTTAAGAAAAGACTCTTAGCTTCAACTTCTTTTATGTCCTGTTCCCTGATTTTCTTCAGACTTCTGCAGCTCGTCTCCTCAGAGTTTACGAATTCTTATAGAATTAACTTGTATAAAAAATTTTAACAGTGCAAATTTCAAAACTATATTTTCTGTATATCTGTTTACATGCTTAAAAACTCACAAGAACCCAAAAGTCTGAAGCCTGTCAGAGCTTCTTGTGCTGATTGTTTTATTTATGTTTTTTTTCATGTTTCTTCCCCTCACGGGTGATCTTTGCTCCTGTTCTAGCACATTTTCAAACCTACAGCATCTTATCTGCATGATTTATCATCACCATCTGCTATACCCTGTTGTTTTTGTGAGAACTGAACAAAGTCCTTAACTCAACATAGCCAAACGCCAGCGTTAATGCTTCTAAACTGATGACTTTTAAGCTGAAAACTGCCCGAGACCTGGCATTCATTATTAGATGCAATCCGGGTCAGTCCGAGGCACGAGTTGCTTTTTGTAGTGTGTAAGTGGTCAGACTGTGACTTTCAGGAAGAGATCTAAAAATAGCAGCCAGCCTGTCTGGTTAAAAGAGGATATTCCTGATGAGGAATTTACTGGCGATGCAAACAGGAGTAAAAACAAATCAGACTGATCGACAAGTATAAAAATAAGAAAACTGTTAGAAGTGAGCTCGGTCAGTTATAGACATCAGCACGATTTAAATCAGGGCAGGCTTTTGATTTGTGGACATTTTACACGGTGTGTAATTTTTTTTAATAGCCACATGCCGCTGTAGCTGCTGTATTACGAGGCGTTGTGTAATAGTAACTCACTGTTTCCATCTGTTGTGTCTGAAATGTCTCTTCTTCATGCTTTAACTCATTAATCTGACACTTCCTCCTGACTGGCTGCCCACACACACTGAAGAAAGGTGAGATGGTGTTGCGTGCAAAGGTTGATGGAAAACTACTGTGTGTGTGTGCGTCTGTGAGGTGGGGGTGTAGTTCAAGATTTTCTGTGTGTGTTTTTTCATGCATGGGGTGATAACAGTGACTCAGGCATACCTGTGTATGTGTGGGCGTGTACATGCATGTACGTCTTTGTGTGTCTGTGAACCGCCCACACCTGACTCTTGACATCATGTGATGCGCTTACATGTATGGGTTTCTCCCCGGTGATGTCACCTCCAACCCCACCCTCTGGGGGTGGGGCCTGAGGTCTGCTTTTGTGGCCGGGAGCTGATCTCTGAGCTTTACCCCTGACTGATGAGGTATTTAGATAATCTGTGCTCGGTAAAGCAGCTACTTCAGTCTTTTGTTGCTTTGATGGCACTACTGGTGTCTGCAGAATTTCCCAAAACAATATATTCTGTTTTTAAATATAATATATCTTTAAAACACAACTGTTATCGACTTTCTGGCCAAAACGCATTTAATAATTTTCATAGTTAAAAAAAATACTTATATCATTTTCTTTGCTGAGAAAAGAAGATGATATGCATAAAATAAAATTTGCCTTCTTTTTTTGCTTTGCAGCTTTCTTGTGTTATAAAAATCACATGCTTATTTTCTTAACGTTGGTGCATTTTCACTCACATACTGTTTTAGCAATTTAGACTTTTTATTGTGTGACCATAAAAGTAGGTAAAAATGTGACCTGCCAAAGTATCGCAGATGCAAATGAGCTTTAAGCTAACTCTAGTACAGTAGCTCAAATAACATTTATGTTAGTATTGTACACAGTCCCTTTCAAATAAAAATAATGAAAAAAATAACATAAATATCACCTGTTTGTTTTGGCACTCAATGTTGGCATCTTGGCCAAACAGTGAAACACTGCGTTCTCAACTAATGCTAACAAGCTTTTATTACCATAGACTATATGGGTGCATCACACAACCTGTTAATTGTGCTAAGTGACAGACTAATTGGAATATAACTCACCAAAACCACAGCATAAACTACTTGGATGTGCTGTCTCTAACTTTAGTATCCAGATGAGTTATAAAAACAAATCACCATGCATACAGTTTTTATGAAGAATTATACTATCCAAAAGAGGGGGGGAAACAGAATTAAATTTATTCCCATTTCCTTGTTGCGATTACACCACAATAACTGTGTAATGTTTAAGTTAATAATTACAATTGCAGATAAAATGATGTAATGTTTGCTATGGGAAAAATGAGCATATCTTTTTTTTTTTCCCATAATGTAGCAGTCGTGCAAGCAAATAAATCAGATTTTGTCAGAGTCTTATTTAATCAATTTGATCTGAAGATTAAATATGACTCGTAGCTGCACTTTGCTCCGAGTTTAGTTTAAACACAGTAAAATAATAAAAAAATAAAAGCCATGCTGAGCAGTAAATCCCCTATAAGGGGATAAAACACAAGATTTTCATTAAAGCTGCTTTCATCCTACAATTTTCAAATGTAGGATGAAAATTATAACAGCTTTTGTATCACTAAATTCAATTTTAACAGTTAAAATATTTTTACAAACAGATATAAACAAAAAAAAAATCTGTAAAACTGCAAAAAAAAAAACCACCCACATCTGCGAAAACAAACACCAATGATGTTAAAAATAATGGAAACATATGGTGGACATATATTTACTTTATAATGAAAAGCTAGCTTTGTTTAATATTTTGATCCTTTTTTTAATGCAGTTAAATTTCTTCATTTTCGTATCCTCACCGGCTTTTAGGGAGGTTTAAAGCTGCTACTTCTAATCATTTTTCCACAATATTTACTATCATATGACAGCATTTCATTAAATTTTCTTAATCTGTCCTTGATAAATTTAAGTTACATTAAACCTGTGTGCAGTATTCAGTGGCTGTGTGATCGCAGCTGCTTCTTATTTAAGACAGCTTCTCTTTGCCAGATGAAGGGCTAGCATTTTTAGTTACAAGTCAATGTCTTTTTTACAAGTTAAATAGTGTGGGAGTGAGAGTCTGTTTGCAATACTGGAGTTATGAAACTGTAAAACACTGCAGTAAGCTCTGGGAGTAAACACAAGCTCACATCTAGGAGCCACTTTTGTCGTTTTTGTACAATAACTTCAGGCTATTTAATGAAGTTACGTATACTATGACTATTTGGTGATTACAGGCCTTCAATATACATACAGATGCACAATTTGTAATACATTCAAGTAAATGAGATTTACTTATTTAAAAAAACATTTATGCCCTTTTTAAAAACTGAAGCCAAATCAATTTTACATCCACAGCCAAAAATCTGATCTCATGGAAAAGCATCATCTGTAGTTAAATGACAACATTCTAATGTGTGTCCAGCAGAGGAACAGGAACCAGAACTGGTATCCTGGAGGTTCGATCTGTTTTCCAATGATTTAACAGAGAAAATATCAAAAAGACCCTTTAAAGTTTCGGGTGAACTTTAAAGGATCTTTAGCATCTGAAGGGTCTCATTTTTACCTACATTTTGGTACCAGACCCATCTTCTAGTTTTTTTCCTCCTGGGTCAGAATAAATGTCTAATGTAGTCATATTTGAACACACTGAGCATTGCTTATGGCTCTAAAATGTAGAAACAACATCAATAATGACATGTTCTATATAATAGTTTTAACATCACTCGAGAAACTCATCGAGGTTGAAATTTGGTTCAAATCTTTAAAATTTAAGCACAGAGGTGTCGTTGCAGTCGTGCAGCCTCGCTAACAGTGCGGGAAATCTTTTTATTCATTAACCACCGACAAACACATTCAGACTGCACCGATGTTGCCGTCCAGCCTGAACCGTGCAGGCTGCTTAGAGCGCCTGGAACAGAGCCAGGACGAGAGAGCTGAGGTCTGAAGATGACCTGGAGGCAGTCAGAGTAGCAGAGGAAGTTCAGGGAAGGTTACCCAATTCTTAAATACTGGTCATAGTTAACATGTTATGTAAACAGCTAGTGTTAGCATTAGCACCCTTGTATCCATGTCTTTGTTGGCTAGTAACAGCTCAGGCAGGTTTTTCCTGCTAGCATTTTGTTGGAAGCAGTTAGACATGATCTAGCAGATGTAACCTAAACTGTTGTTCGGCAATTGTGCCACATGTTCAACTGGCTTCTTGCCAGCCGCCCTCAATGTTTTTGTTTCTCATGTTGCTAGGTGCATAATGAGCGGGCGGTGGCTGAGTACGAGGCGGTGGCAACTTCGCACAGAAACTCGAGTGATGACGGCGCACACCCGCCGAAATCCACCACGGAAACTCCCACGCAAGCAGACACCGCCCACACCTCACACACAGACTCTGACAAAGACCAAACGCACCCTGCGTCAGACGGAGGAGCGCCCAAAGACAATACGGTCTTCACAGAAGAAAACCCACATTGAGTGTTCATTTAAAAACTATTGAATGCACACACAGAGGGCTTTAACCCCAGTGTGTTTCATTACTGCAAAGTGACCTGTCTAAACAAGTTCATCTGTCCTCTAGTTCAGTGTTAAAATCCTGTTGTGTGGTGAAGTGATTCCTCTGCAGTTTATAAACACTGTGTCCAGATTATTCTAAAAGCTAGTGTAGTGTGTACATATGATTGTGAAATGGGGGATTATCCTTGAATACTGGAAGCAAGCTGGGAATGGTTTAATTCTAGAGGTGCAGTGGTTTCTAAACTTCATTAATGGATGGTTTTTGCAGCAGGTTTGAAACTGATCTCTGCGCACTGCAACACCTTCCAGTGGATTGTGAAGGAAATTCCTTCATTTGTAAATGTGCCTCTTGATGTGTTATTTAACTTAATTTACATTTAAAATGGGAAGAAAACTGTTGAAGTGTTTTTTAAAAGAAGTAATGATACAACGTGCAGCTTTGACTGGACGACAGCACAAATGACTTCATGGGATTTTAACTTGTGGCAGGGATTTTTTTTTTGTTTTGTTTTGTTAATTCTACTGTAATACAAGAGTTCTCAATCTGAATGTGCCGTAGATCATTTTCATGGCTTTGAATGTGTGGAGCTAAATTCACAATAAAAGCCTCTCAGTTGTGTCTGGCTGAGTGCTTTTAATTTGAAGCAGCAGCATAAGTAACTAACCGTGAAAACTACCACATACTGAATGAGAAATACAGCAAACAGAAAAGCTTTACAACAAGTTTAAATTCAACCTGTGATTACTTAGTATATAAATGAAATCAGAAACATTTTTTTAATGCACATAAAACGGAGGCTATCTTTTCTACTGAGGGCCTGCTTTTCTAAAAATCAGTGTTTATTTTTTTCTTGGGGAAGTTTAACCCATTTAAGTTAATGTATCATTTTAATGTTTCTCTAAAAGTTAACTAATGTCTGTTGTTCTGGAGCTCTTTCTACGATCCCCAAAGATTTCTGTAATTAAGAAAATGTCACCTTTCTCTTCCCTCCTCATAGAAATGACCTCTCCTTTCTCCTTGTCTTTGTAGAGTCATGATGAGGCACAACAATGTAAATTTAGAGGTAAATAACAAACAGTAAATTATACATTACATGTGCACACTTTCACCAAAGTTTTGTCTTTTTTTTTTTTTGTGTTCTTCCCCTACGTTTCCACTGTTGCACAAAAAAAGGAAACCGAAATAAAACAGTTGCATAAAATAATGAATCAAATACTGCAAATATATTGGTGAAAAAGTGCATAAAAATCAGGCAAATCTAGTTGCAGTAAAAATACACAAAGTTTATTAAAGAGAACGTGATTCTAGGGACAAGAAAAAATACAATAAATTAGATTTTCTAATACTTTGGTGATAAAAATTTGAAATAATAATAATACGCACAGCCTGTGACGGCACACCTTCACAGTGCGTGAGTAAAAATTAATTTGTGAAATTTCTTGAAGATATAGATGATTTCTCCTGTGAGAACTTCTCTGATTCTGACATGCAAATAATAAACTGGTGCTTATTAAAATTGGGTTTAATTCATTCAAGCATAAAATGAGTGTAGACAGTCTGTAACCATAACTGTACAATGAGAATGATTCAGGTTAATGCAAAGGCAACCACATGAAATATAATTACAGTTCAGGTAGTTAATGGCACTGTATTATTCGCAAGATTATCATGTGTGGTGTTAACACAATCTCCATATTTCATGTCTCAAATGTCGCTGGAAAAAGCGAATAACCGAGACATATAAGAAGACCAGAACGAGCTCCGTCACGTTCAGGGGGATGGTAAATTAGTTTGCCCCTCATATGACAGTTGACACTGATATAGCTATAATGTGGTTAGAAGAACTATCTGAAAAACTGTTTATTACAAAAACAAGTACTGTTGGTTGTTAATGTATTTTTTACATAAGCTTACAATAATTTGGTTACGTCTGTGGTCTGTCTGTTGGGAATTGCTGTAATACTTAAAACTGTATTTTTCAAATTCCTTAAATACATTTAATTAATTTTTTTCAGTGCCGTTTCAGGTTGTGGGTACCTTAAAAATGGACAGAGCTGGAAATGGGAAGAATATTTTCATTCTTGGACTCTACTAGAGTAGCTTTGTATGATTCACAGTTCAAAATAATCCGTATTTATATTAAAATGGGTCTCACTTCATCCCTTTGACCAGCCTGGGAATACACTGCACTCACTTAAGCGCTTTGATTCCAGCAAACGTGTTTCAGAAGTGTCTCTATGCTCGGGCGTAGAAATCAGATAAAGTTTCAAAATAAAAGACCCAGAAGATTACATTTCTAAAACACTCCTGATGTGATTTGAAGGCATTGCAGCATCCCACACTCAAACCTAGTGTATCCCCAGAAGGGATGACAATATGTAAGGACGTCTGCTCTTACTGATATCATAAAGAGCAAAAGAAATGATAAGATGGCATTTGGAGTTTGCGGCTCAAAAGGGTTGCTTGTACATACGTTTTGTCCATGTTTAACGTGGGTTTTGGCCACTGGAACAGAAGATGGATGCAAAAATGTAGGAGAAGCAGAATTGGTCCACATAAAGACGTTACATCCTCTACCTTTGTTGCTCCTTGACAAATCAGATTGTTGAAGTCTCGTGGGAGGAACTGCTGAGTCTGTTAATTCTCGTCAGAGCTCACTGAAGGAGCTGTGATGAAGAAGTGCCTCTTCTTAATCATCATTATTATTCTAACTTCTTATGATGCGATGTTGAGCAAAGACCCCTTTACTGTGCTACACTACACTGCCAACAGCTGACATGCTCTCTGCTTCCTGTCTTTTATTTTCATGCCAATAGTTTTCAGTATTGAGTGTTTTTGTGCCGTATGTGTAGGAAAGCCTTAAAGACGAAGCTATTCGATGTACTGTAATGATGTGCGGTCAATTAAAGGACTTTTGGAAAAGGCCAATATCACTCCTTTATTACAGTAATCATCCAGTTTTAATTAACTCGATGTAAATGAGTGTGTAAATGAGTAGCCTTATATTGCTTTTCTTTCACAGGTGTGTTTGGTGTTGAGTAATTTGAAATATTCTGGGGTATTTTTAATGTATATGAACTGCACTGAATCAAAAACCAGATATGAGAATAAGCCCCAAATTTCTCTAAAGACACAAACTGGAGAGTGAGTCAAATTGTGAATGTCTGTTAAGTTAGGAGCCTTTTAAAAAATACTTAAATGACTCATAGGTCAGTGTTAAACGGCTTAACAATCAACAAGTCATTTCTCTGAAACTGGTCGGGTAAAAGGACTGGACTGAAAATAAGTGAAAAGCAGCCAATGTCCAAAGAATAACTTTAAAAGACCACCGGAAAGTCTCGAGAGCCATTGCTCAAGGCCGCTTTAAAAAAAACAATGACAGGAAAGTCAGAGTATAAAGAAATGAGGGGTGGCTCAAGACTTTTGCACAGCACTATAACTCCACCAGTAAATCAAAAATTACACCTCCCCTTTGCTCATGAACAAGACCCAACGATACAAAAACTCCTCGTCTTGCGAAAGCAACTAATCCCAACCTAGAGTGGATACGCCACACTCAATCCGGCTGAAAACCATCACCTCAACATCTGCTGCTGACCTGACGCCCTGAGTGAGTTAGAGATGATCTACATTTTGATGAAGCCAGAAAGACCACATCACCTGAAAAACCAAACATTCCTCTAAGGAGCATGCCTTAATGTGGCTAAAATTAGTGCAATTTTTATTGCAGTAGGTTTCACGTAAGTAAAAGTAGAAATGTATATGCAGAAATCTACTCCAGTAAAAAGTACCCCAAAGGTAAAAGGCCACATGATTCCAGTGTAATCTATATGACTATTTTTCTATTGAAATGAGGGGTGTTGTGATTGATTTAAATACTTTAATGTTTCATAGTTCATCTGTGCAAGTGTGCAGGATTCACACTGAGGTATTTCTGCACTGGTGCTCAGCGTTTGTGTGCTAAAGCAGCCACTTGATGGCAGTAGTGCTCTGGTGCATTTACAGTCTTAAATGGACTCTGCCAGCCTCTATATGTGTGTGGAGGGTTATTGAGGTCGTGGTGCGCCTGCTACTGATGGGTGTGTGTGGGAGGACAGTAATAGGCTTCCTCAAAAACTAGACTATGTGCTGTTGTTAAAAAAAAAAAAGGAAAGGAAAGGAAGAAAAAAAAGAAATAATAAAATCAAAACCCGTCTTGGCACGCTCAGCCTGTCTGATATCCGTGGAGAAATTTCATCAGCCCCGGTGCTGTTGATGCTGTTGTTGTTGTTTTGTCTTGCGTGGTCCTTAATAATGAACAGTATAATGGTGTTGTTTTTCTTCTGAGGTGTCATGACCGCGAGCTGCAGAACAATGCCACACATTTTAATTCAAATGGCGCGGAAGGTCGAGAAGAGGCCGGCTTTTCTGTTCCCTGACATGTCTCTGGAAATTGCAGGGAATTACTGCAGCGCTGACCTGCAGACGTTTCCAATTAGTTGAACAAAGAGAGTCGTGCATGTTGGTCATTACTGCATCTTGCAACTTGATTATTTGACTAATGGGAGGAGGGGGTAAAAATGCAAATAAATGCTGCCAGTTTTTAGTTTTGGTCCCCAAAAGCCACATTAAAACACATTTTGCTGTAAACTAACAGCTTTCTCCTAATTTTCAGGAGTCAAATAAGGCCCTCACACCCCGAAGGTCATTTTTCACCGCCTCACCATCTTAGCATCTTTCTTTTTCCCCTAACCTGCTCCTTTGCTCTTGCTTTGTTCCCTTTAAGCTGAAGAACAAAAGCTAATGTTAATGTACATGCTACAGAGCCTCATCCAGAGCCTATTTTCTTAATTGTACCAATTACCATTGATATTAAAGAGCATTCAGTCCTGGCCAGCTGCTGCCCAGATACAACCTGAAGCTATTTTTAGTTCCCTCGCCTCACTGTGCCGTGACAGAGAGGCGAGACAGACACCCTGAGGAGGAACTGTTGAGTCAAGGTGACGACGGCGCCCGATGTCCACCGAGACTCCTTGAGGGATCAGGGACAAGTGCGCGGTCGAGGGTTGCAAATACAGCTACAAGCCTTCAGTAACCCTAACCCTGTGCTATCAGTACAATAATAGTAAAAATATTGTCTTTCTTTTTATTTTCTTTTATTTTTCTGTAAAACACAGAGTTAGGGGTTAGGATTACTGTTGCGTCTCATTATTATGACGACTCCAGAGGGTTAAAGGAGGTTTGCCGGACACATGAATCGAGTTTTGAGCCTCAAAATCTTCTGAAAAGTTCTGGCTTAAATAAACCCGAGTCTAAAAACGAGATCAAAGTGCAGTCTATCCCTAACCCTGAGTGTTGGTGAGAAGCAAAAAAAAGAGAGAAAAGGTTATGTGTCCCCTGATATCCAAGACTTTGGAGAGCAATTTTAAAAGAACCATAAATAAATAAAATCATGTCAGGGTTAGAAAAGATGGTGACTTAGACCTCATGGGATTCAGCATGAACACATTAACCCATAATCTTTGTTGTTCCAGTCCCTTGACTTTCTTGATTTTTGTGGTTGGAAACCATCAGCAGTTTGATTTGTGAGACATGCATCATATGATGTCATCAGAGACTGAATACTGTTTTGAAAATCGCAGTGAAGAAAGTAATGAGAGGATGAGTCACGCTGGCTGTCATTGCTTTAATTTAGGTTTCTTTTTCTCCCCTTTTTCTGCTCTCATATTCTAGTTTCCAGCATTTTAAAATCTGAAGTGTGTGCAGCCAGTGTCCTCCCAGCCTCTTTAAGAGACCAAGGACAAATACCCAGTCCTGAAATTTGAGGGTTGCAAATACATTTAGTGCCTCTAACCCTGAGCTATCAGAATTTATGGTTTAGTGTTTGGGTGAGCGTTGCTTCTCATCATTATGATGATTTTACCAAGGAAGTTTACCAGGCTCTCGAAAGTGGTTTTAAGACCCCCATAGAAAGGTGCTAAAACAGATCTGAGTTATTCCCAAACTATTTCTATTTCAGTCCCTTGATTTTCTTCTTTTTAGTGGTTGTAAACCATCAGTGGTGCAATTCACTAGAGAGGCATCGTAGATGCATCAAAGGCTTTGAAAATCAAAATGAAGAAAGTGATCGAATGCTGAGTCACCTTTACTGTTATCGCTTTCTAATTGGCTAGTTTCAGTCTCTCAAACTGATTATACATCATGGGCCACGTCAGAAAAATCTGAATCACAATCTTTATTGTCATTATACAAAAAGTACAAACCAGTGTGGAGTCCCAATCAGTGTGAGTAAGCAGTCTCATTATCTTATTACAACTTTTTTCTTAGTACAAAAATAAAACAAGAGAATTTCTAACAAAAAACAGTATAAAAATATAAATAAATTTGAGTGCGTGCGTTTGTGTGTGTTGTAGCATTATCGATTGCACAGCTGTTCACAGCTGAAGAGTATTGATTACACAGGTTAGTAAAGAGAGAGGCATACCCTTCTTCCACATAAGGTCCACTTTGATCATTTTGATCAATTAGATATCAGAGATATATAATTATAAACGAACAAGTGTAATTTCAACAGTATGTCTCAGTTTTTCTTCAGAATAGAAAATGAAAGAAATCTGTTTGCATGACTTTGGGTTTAATATTTATAAACATAAATAAACGTGTAAAATTACAGAAGAAGTTCTAGAAGCTCATTGCTCAGATTGTTCTGTAATTATAAAACAGAGAGTTTTATAATTACAGACAGAAAATGTTGCTTTGGTGTCAAATGACCATGGGGGAGGACTTTAATGGTAGAGGAAGCTGTAGAACTCATGAAAATATAGTTAAGTCCAATATTTATGCCATCCTTCACATTTTCCAAAGCTGTCCAAGAGACCAGACTAGTGTCTTTGTAGGACATACAGGCCTCCAGGCCTTGTGTTTGACACTCCTGCCTTAGAAGGGTCAAGGACAAATACCAGGTGTCTGTATCCGTATGCTATCAGAACATGCAGGTTCTGGATTTTCCAAAAAACATCTTTTAAAAACATAGAAGTAGTGCGGTAGGGTTGCTTCTCATTAACAGTGACGACAGTAAACACCTGAAAGTAATCCCCTCCCCAAAAAAGACCCTAAAATATTTCAGTTAAATCAACTCAAGCTTGACACCAAGCTACAGCGTTGAATTGGAGTGTGTTTGATCATGCTTTATTCTTCCAGTCACTCGTGATTTTTGTAGTTAGAAACCATCAGCAGCGCATTTTTGTATCAGACGCATCAAAGTTCCCCAAAAGTGATCAAAGAGTGACGATTCATCCAAAAATCCATTCATCAAGCCATCCAACCGGGGTCGTAGCACAAAGATTCACTACAACAGTATTTACATGCCTAAACAAGCACACTGCTGATGAACACAGTAAACATTAGACTTCAGAAATGCAGACTTTGATGCACTGAAACCTGAGGAAATTAGATTATATTTGCATTCGACCTCTGTGAGGCACCAGGTCCTTTTAAACCCTGTGGCCTTTTAAAATAAAGCAAGATCTGCTCCTAACTCCTCATCAAATTTCCACACACACAGTATATATATATAAATTTTAGAGGTATGTAAGAGAAAGATAGTAAGCAAACTTTGAAGGGCGAAGAGAAGAAATAAATTGTTTGGGAATCCTCTGAGGGAATCTTGAGCTGAAACCCTATTTCAGTACCTACTGTACAATGTGCTGAAAGTAGCATATTTTTAGTCCATGACCTTTTAAAGTAAAGTAAGATCTGCTCATTAAATACGTCTTTTGACAAAATTTAGCATAATTTGAAGGACTTTTTAGGCCTGATAAGGGAACAGGTTTTGGCATTTAAGGAAAAGTCTAAAAATTAGTAATGACTGAATGTTGTTGAGATAATAGAAGAAGACAATATCCTTACCAGTTATAAAATATGCTCATAATTTTCACATTTTAATGTGG